TTCCAGCTGCTGTGAGAAAAGGCTATAAACGATCGGCCACCTGCAGGATCCTCACATGCGATAGCCTAGTAGCCGGGACAACTTCTTTATGTTTACAGACGTGACGTAATGACGCAGTGCCATGCTCGAATTTTCCGAGAAAACCTACCCATACCACTCAAATGAGAAAATATTATTATAAACTAACCGTTGTGAATCGGGCTAAAGTAAGGCTCTAGTTTTGAACACTGGCTGGTTATGTACTTGCTCAAATATTGATTTCAGATCATTTTTAACCAAAAAAAAGTTACCAACCTGCACAACAAAGCCATCTTTACCCCTGGCATTAACATGTTTTATGCATTTGGATCTTTCTTGATTTTTCTTTATTTTCAAGCAACATCTCGCATCCTTGCTTAAGATGCAGGTGTTCACGTAAAAAATAATAATAAATTGAATGTCAAATATATGACATATATTTCTCTCTCTCTCTCTCTCTCTCTCTCTTTCATATTGAACTTAATTCATTATATCAGCCTAGACATGAATGGTTTGGATTAAATCACTTATGGTCACCAGACTGTATATTTAACTTTCCTGATTTATGAATTGCCAGAAGGAAGAGTCTCCAACATGGGATCACAGTAAACATTATGTGTTTAGAAATCTTTCTGGCAATAATTGAATCCTACCATCAGCCTAGTTCAAGAGAGATGGGGAGCAGTTAACATCTCAACTGCTGCCCTTATCGAGGGCAAATTAATGGAATCTTCTAAATTCTTTAAAAGGAAAGCAGACTAATCATTACAAGATATTAGACATGGACAAATCTATCAGAGATAAGACACGTAAAAATAGTACTACTAGAAACCTCAGTATCTGCAGCTGAGAGTTTGGACTCTTCAGTCCATCAGAGAGCAGCTTCACTCCTGAATCCTGCAGGTCATTGTTACTCAGATCCAGCTCTCTCAGGACAGAGTTTGAGGATTGTAGAGCTGATGACAAACTCTTACAACACTGAGCAGTGATATTACAGCCAGCAAAACTATGGGATATAATCAAAAATATGTTACTTAAACTTTAATCTCAGTTAAGCATTTTCAAACACAATAGTCTATTTATTATTTATAAAGATATCAATGTACAATACAATGTACTGCAAATAAATTTGAAAGTGACATGTGGTTGAGAATTTAACACTCACTGGGCTTTTGTGCAGTTGATCACAGCTGCTATCAGTCGTCTTCTCCCCTCATCTGATGTGTTGTATTTCTTGAGGTCCAGCTCATCCAGCCCCTCCTCTGACATCTGAAGCATGTAGGCGATTGTTGAGCAGTGAGCAGGAGAGAGTTTCTTCTCTGAGTGTTTGTCTGATTTCACAAACTCCTGAATCTCTCTGGACAGAGTCTGATCTTTCACTTCCAGCAGACAGAGGAACAGATTGATGGATCTTTCAGTGGAGAGTCCATGTCCATCTTTGATCTTCTCTTTAATGTACTGTGTGGTTCTCCTGATGCTCTCTGAGCTGTTCTCTGTGTGTGTCAGTAGATCCTGTAAGAGTCTCTGATTGGACTCCAGTGAGACGCCCAGCAGGAACCGCAGGAACAGATCCAGATGACCATTCTCACTCTCTAGGGCTTTATCTACTGCTCTTTTATGCAGGTTATGCAGTGAATCTAAACATGCTTCTGTAGTGCTGCTTATGTGGTAGTAAAACACATAGAAAGCAGCAAGAAACTCCTGAACACTCAGATGGATGAAGCTGTAGACTTTCTTCTGATGAATCACAGATTCCTCCTTAAAGATCTCGGTGCAAATCCCAGAATACACTGAGGCGTCAGTGACGTCTATGCCGCTCTCAATCAGGTCCTCCTCATAGAACATCACATTGCCCTTCATCAGCTGTTTGAAAGCCACTTCAGCAAGTTTCACAATCACTTCTCTGTTGGACTGCAGGAGTTTCTCAGTGTCACTGCAGGAAATTACCTTTCCCATAATAATAATTTGTCCATAGAGCACTCACGGTATTACTGCTAAGGTTCAGAACAATAAAAAGCAAATCCGATACAGTACAACTGCAGCTCAATGAATCCAGACAAGCTAGATGCTAGATGCTAGCAGTTTCTGGTCAGTGTTTGGGTGTGGCTGTTTCATTTACATTCTTTATACTGGTTTATGTCAAACAGTGTTGCAGACAATGTTTACAACAGTTTAGTATTTTAAATGTTCGTGTGGTAATTTCAGATGGAGTGGAAGTGCTTTTGTACTCTTGTCGATTGATTTAACCACGCTTGAACAACAGTATAAGTGAAAGTAGGCCGCATCGTAAGAGAATAAACAATAATTGGTTCACTGTGCTCTGTGTACATACAACAACCATCTCTGTACATTAAACAGTGTCCTGGTAGAATAGTAGAATAGTATGTTTAGCCAGTTTTCTTCGAACGTTCGTCGTCACAGAATCCAGGATGTAAACAGAGTTATACAAGACGGCTTTGATACCAGAATAATTATTCATGTTATATGTGTGTATATATGAATGCAAAGCAAACCTCAAATAGCAGCACAGGTTTATATATGATTGGATGTTTACAAGAACATTCATTAATAACTTACCATGTAATACGCGGCCGTTTGAATATTCAGGTTCAAGAATGACGACGCTGTTTGTTTTTTGTTTTTTTACTTTCACTTTCGTTCTTACTCACATGAAAGAGTCTGGCGCAGCTTCCTAACATTGTCACGTGAATCACAGAGCAGTTTTAAGCTGCTTTATGTAGCTTAACAAATACAGTATGAATAGAAATTGTTGCCAGTCACCACTACATTAAATCTGACCTTATTTAAAACTGTCATGTTCAAAACATGGGAAGTACATTGTGAGAGACAGATAACAAACCTGTTGAGATATATGACCACTGTGGCAAACACATTTAAAATGTCAGTAGCACATCTTTTCTGGTAGGCATTATCTATCAGGATGGGCTGCTTCCGTATTTTGTGAGGTATGATAAACCAAGGGTCCTATCCACACCACAAAGTACATTACTATAGAAATGATGTGGGGTAAAATATGGCAAAAGAAGAATCAAATGTGTTTGGGTTGACAGATCAGCTTTATGTTAGTGATGTGATTCAGCATTTTTGTTTAACAGGACAGCTGTGGTCAGATAACCATTTATGTTTGTCTCACCTTGCATTCATACAGTGCGTCCTTCATGTGTGTCAGTCGTCTCCCAGCGGTCAGATGATCCAGACAGAACATGGACAGACTCTGGCCGTGTCCCACAGAGAGAAGACTGTCCTGCACACACAGACTCACAGAGACCCCCGTCCAGCAGCAGAGACTCCAACAACATCCATTCAGGACATGAGAGAGCAACCAATGAAGATTAAGAATGAAAACAGACTGAGAGATGAGAGGAGAAATCAGAAAGACACATGAAATAGAGGAGAGCAGACTGTGTGAGTGTGACGTCTGTCTGAACACATGCTTTAATCACACACTGCAGTACATCGCCTGTTTCATCTCAATGTTTAGAGTCTGAATCTCTCAGCACTGAATCTGAACTTTACAGATGTAACATGACAGTGAATGTGATTCACCATGTGCAAATATTTATTGAAGCTGTATTAAACCATGCAGCTGTTACACTAAAGAGACATTTTCACCTGATCTGACCATGAAATAAGTTATTTTCACAAATACAACCTATTGAATTCAGCTTGATTCAGTCAAATTAATTTATATTTTGCAATTTGAATACAACCACATATTTAGCTTACTTGACCAAATTTTTTACATCCAAAACACAAGAAAAAGAAATATAAAACAATATAAACAGAAAATGCAACATTACATGTCAAGGTAGCAACAAAACAAAATCATACATACAAATTGCTCAGAATTGTAATTTTAGCTTATACCAATTTGTAATGACAACAGTGTTAAACAGAGTGAGCCAAAACTTCCTGTATAAAACAGTCATGAATGCTTGAATGGATTAATTAGTGATCAAGAACATTATCTCATTAAAGTTATGATTACAGAAATAAATAATAGGTAATTTTATCATTATAATATATTGAACGGAGAGAAAACACATTGATCTAACAGCTGTTGACAATCCAGCAGATGAAACTGAGACTGAATCCTCTGAAACAATGTCATCTACAGTAGCTTTTATAAAATTACACCAAATGAAGAGTCCAGAGCGTTTCTACAGACCAACACCTTTAACTCACTGAAGTCTCCACTAAAACACCCAGAACAACAGATGACACCTGATGTCTGAACAGTTTTCCACAGATGTTCATCTGCATCAGAATCAGGAATTAAAAACAAATGCAGGTGATGAGCAAGATTCAGTGTCTCTCCAGGAACAATAGTTTCTGTTCATCGGTCAGAATAATGTTAGTTTAGATGGCATGCAGTGGAACGGGCTGCTCTTCTGGGATCACAAAGGGAAAGAAATCCTTCTCCAGTGGTACTCTAGTAAATCCTGATATAAGGGAATATAATGGTTTATATAATGGTTATATAATCGTATGTATAATGGCTGATATAATGGTTTTTATACTGTACAAACTATATTTTCTAAACCAACCCTACACCTAAACCTACCCCTTACAGAAAACTTTCTGCATGTTTCGTTTTCAGATAAAAAAAAAAACAAAAAAAACATTTAACATGTTTTTAAGCGTTTTGAATTATGGGGACATAGGCAGTGTCCTAAACCACCTTCACATTCTAATACCTGTCAAACCCATCTCATTATAAAAATGTGTGTCCCCATAAACCACCAAACCAGTGCACACACACACACTTTTATTTCCAGTATGACATAGTATTTTTAAAGCATCTAGTATAAAACAAATTTGGTCAACATTTAGATGTACACTAGCAAGTAGATGCCCTAAAAGCTAAATTACAAGCAACAAAACAGTCTGTGTGATTCAGTTGTTTCTCACAGCAGGATGTGTAATCTGACACAGAGACAGTTCAGACTCAAACACTCCAAACCAAGCATAGAGGGGTTCAGTGAATGTGGTGTTGAATGTGTGTAAGCGTGTGTGTGTGTGTGTGTGTGTGTGTGTCAGAGATGCTTTAGAAGGAGAGAGTGTCGGCCAACACGTCCACATACACTCCTACTCTTGTAGAATAGGGTGATGGGACAGGTAGTGTTCACATTATTGTGCCAGGAAGTGAATCCATCAGAAGTGCAATACAGACTCCAGGATTTGTCACTGCATCCAAACCAACAGTCATTCCCTCCTTTCCTGCTGATTCCTTTGTATGTCACTGCCAGTCCATTCAGCCTCCCAGTAACAGCGTCCAGTCAGACTCTCTCCACAGATAACCTGGTCAGAGCTCTCAAATCTGTCTGGATGATCAGGATATGGCTGCTTTTCCTCAACATGTGTTGCCTTTCTATTGTCCTCAGACAGAGAGAGTTTAACATGTGCTGTGTTTGGATCCAGTGTGAGATCACAGGCATCTGAACACAAGAGAGATGAAAAGTACATGAAGGACAGTTTTCACACGTGTGTTGGTAAACTGGGTAAACCCTACATTACATGTAAGGGTGGAATTAAGGGACAGAATGTAAAGTTCGTACAATATAAAAATCATTATGTCTATAAAATTATGTCTATTATGTGTGTGTGTGTGAGAGAGAGAGAGAGAGTGTAAGAAAGAAAGAAAGAAAGAAAGGAAAACCTTCTCAGTCGTGATTTTGAAATGATTTCCATGGTTGCAACTACAAAGACAAATATAAAGCACAAATGATAAAGGACTGATTGTTAAAATTGTGGGAAAAAAAAAAAATCTAAA